GAGAAGGGCGGCATATAAATCAAATTAAAAAAATAAATAAATTCTCAGACAGCAGAAGACACCACCTACCTAAACCTGGAAACCTGAGGACCTCTGTATGCAAAGCATGCTTTTATATTGATCTACCATCATATACCTATCTCTTTGCAGAGAGCTAACTTAACAGCTTGCCTATAGCCAAGTTTTTCTGGGAACGTGGTTTGGATATTGCTATCCAAAGTGAATCTAAAAATCAATCAACTGCTGAGGTCATTAGGGATCAGTTTTATCACTGTCTCTTCTGAATCGCCAGCATTTATCCTATGTTTCTTGCAAAAATTCAACTTAAGCGTGGTTTTTTAAGTTACAATCTGAAAATTGGGTAGTGTAGGATAAGAAAAAAAATGGCAGCAGGGGGTGGGGGTGGGGGGAGGAGGAAGATACAGTTATCTAATGATTAAGATTCTGGGCTTGTCGACCGGAATGTTGACAGTTCAATACTTAAGGATCGCAGGATGGGTTGAGCTCCCCCTATTTTCCCAGCTCCTGCCAACCTAGCAGTTCGTAAGCATGTAAATGCAAGTAGATAAATAGGTACCACTTCAGTGAGAAGGTAACAGCATTCCATGCACCTTGCCCTATGTCATGCTGGTCACATGACCGAGGAAGCATCTTCAGACAATACTGGCTCCCTCAGCTAGAAAATGGAGATAAAAGAGCCTTGGTGGTGCAGCAGATTAAGTGCTGTTAAGTGCTAGCATTTAGCTGCCAGCTGCCTGCAATTAGTGCAAGTTCGAATCTCACTAGGCTCAAGGTTGACTCAGTCTTCCATGCTTTCGAGGTAGGTAAATTGAGGATTGTGGGGGCAATAAGACAACTTTGTATAGAACAATACCGCTTGGGGGGGGCGAAAGTCCTAATAAGCAGGTATATACAAAAAAGTATGCAGGCTATTGCTATAATGCATTGTAAGCCACCCTGAGTCTATGGAGAAGGGTGGCATATAAATTGGACTAATAAATAAATGACACTACCTCCAAGAGTTTGGACATGACCAGACAGGGGAAACTTTTACCTTTAGACTAAAAAAGTAATTTGATTTCATTTAATGTAGCAATATAGCAATAGCACTTTGACCTATATACAGCTTCACAGTGCTTTACAGTCCTCTCTAAGCGGTTTACAGAGTCAGCCTCTTGCCCCCAACAATCTGGGTCCTCATTTTACCCACCTCGGAAGGATGGAAGGCTGAGTCAACCTTGAGCCTGGTGAGAATCAAACTGTCAAACTGCAGGCAGCCAGCCGGCAGTCAGCAGAAGTAGCCTGTAGTACTGCATTCTAACCAGGGGTGGGTTCTACTTACCTTTACTATCAGTTTGCAACGGGAGCGTGCACATGCGCAGATCACCAAATGTGACATCAGGGCAGGTGGGCGGAGTCTCCCGCCATTTTTAATAGAACCAGGAGCAACCCACCACTGATTCTAACCTCTGCACCACCATGGCTTTTGAATGAAAACCTAATTGTAAATGAAAACCTAATTACAATTGAGTTAGATTAATTAAATTCAGTTAATAGAGTGAAGTCCTATGAGTGGTGGTATTAGGAGCAGATCTGGTAAAATCTGGATAAGAGACTATCAAGGAATCTGGGGACTGTAGGCTAGATTGAGAGGGAAAAAATACACTGGTAGAAGGCAACAGCAAAACTTTTCCATAGTACTGCCAAGAAACCTATACAAACACATCCTTGTAGTCACCAGGAGTTGAACGTGAGGGTGTCTGTATTGTAATATGATGATGTCTGATCTATTTTATAATTTTTCTCATCTCACGTTGCAGATGGAGAGTCTCAGGGGGCACCTTAAGTGAAGATATAGGTGTTCTGTCCCCAACCACACGCACACACACCAACAGATGTTCAGGAGTTAAAGACCAAACCAGCCAGCAAAACCCTTTTCCTTAAGATAACGGAACTTGGCAACAACCTAGTGGCTGCCTGCCAAGAGTTTATTATTTACAAAGAGGAGAGATAACTTCTCCCCACTTCTGATACATCAAAAGAAACAGCTCAATAATTACGGAGTTAATCAAGTCCAGAGATACTCCAGCAAAGTCTTATAGCAAAAGTCCGGCAATGCAGAATGGCGTGGAAGCTTTCAGCTTTGTTCGTCACAAGGTTTGACTGGCCACCACACTCCCTTTTATATCCTGTGGGGTGTGGTCCAGTGACTCAGCCTAATCTCAGACATGCCTTTTCTTCTGTTGCGCGCGCTTATTTCTGCGACGCTGGTGTGGATCCAGCCAAGACCCATTACCCTCATCACTGTCCATCTGTGGCTGCGTGGACATGCTTGGCCCCGGCCCTATCTCTTGCCCTTCGGCAGATGCTGAAGGCATTGCCAGAGAGGAGGGTCCTGGAGAGGGAGGCCTTGCCAACTCCTCCCCTTCACTCTCGGAGTCCTCTCCTGACGATGACACAGGCTCCGGTAACGGAGCCACAACAATAGGTATCCAATGTAGGGTTTTTAAGTAGTGCTTGTCTACTGAATAGAGTAGCAAGGCTGATTGCTACAAGCTCTTGGATTCATCTGCAATTTCTTGGCTGTGACAAGAGAGCTGCAATCCCTGCTCCTGGGGCGGCTTCTCCCAGAAAGACATATGAAGCTGCCACATACTGAACCTGCAAATTATATATTATCTTTTCATCCGGAACTACTCTCTGCTACTTAGATTTTTTTTTTTTAATCCAGAGTCTCTGTGCTTCAGTTTGAGGTATCTTTTTTTTTTTGGCCTATTATGCTACAATGATATTATATAATTTATTTAGGAACTTACGTTTTAATCACCTAGAAACAGTTTTTGCAAACAACGTTAGGAGCTTGTTTTTCTCATCCACAATCTTGGGAACTTTTTAAGATTTTCTACACTAAGCTATATGGATAATGTCCTTTTGCAGGTTCATGTGGCTTGCATAAACGCATATTACTTTTATGGGTTCTTCAAACAGGTTCATATGCTGAGATCCAGTGGCTTTGTGTCCAGTTTTCTTTTCTTCTCAATACTCAACTGATCAATGGAAAAGGAAGTTGTTTTTGGTGAAATGGGCAGCGATGTGAATCTGATTACTGAATAAATACAGTCAGAATTTTTATTGTTAAATAAGGCGATTATTAAGTGAGTTGCACCCAATTTTATGACCTTTTTTGGCTGTGGTTGTTAAGTGAGTCAGACAGTCGTTAAGCAAATCAGGCACCCCCCGCCCATTGACTTGTGACCATGTGAAACCAGTGTTTCTCAACCTTGGTAGCTTGAAGATGGGTGGACTTCAACTCCCAGAATCCCCCAGCCAGCAGCGCTGATGGAACACTGATGTGAACAGTGACCATGTGACCCCAAGATGTTGCAATCATCATAAACACATGCCAATTGCCAAGCACCAGAGTTTTTATCATGTGACCATGTGCTGCAACATGCGAGGGACCCGTTTTTTTCAGTGCAGTTGTAACTTTGAACAATCATTAAACAAATGGTTGTAAGTCGAGGACTTCCTGCATACACAAGCAACTGCTTTGATCTCAGAATGCATTGTTAAAATCCCCAGCTCCACATTGTCCTGTTCATTGTACCTTAAAAGGACTTGAAATTCATTTTTGCTTCATTTTTGATTTTTTTAGAAATAATCCATCTCAGAAGAAGCAAGTTCTAGTGGCAAGTGGCAATTCTGATCTTCCACCCCACCTTCACCCCCGATGGCGTTATTCTTGCAGGTTTGTTTAATTTAATTTCAATATTTAATCGTATGGACCTTAGACCATTGAAAATGGATATTCCATATGAGTAACTGGCTTTGAACCTCTCTGCCTTTCAGTCCCTAACGAAAAAACAGTTTGTGTAAGGTCAAACAAGATCAGCATGATAGTGTTTCTGAACACTAAAAATATTGTAGAGATGCTAAATAAAGCCAGAAGGCTGCAAGAGAGTCCATGGTATAAAAATAAATAAGCTGATTTATACATGGGAAAGGCACAGGAAATGGACCCATACTGGGTCGGCCAGTGGACTATGCTGGCAGGCAGTAGCTCTTCAGGATTTCTGATAGAAAACTTTCCAGACCAATCTGGAGATACCAAAGATGGAATTTTAACCCCCTTTTCATGCAAAGTTTTAGGCATGTATTAAGCTAGTAGCTGCCTCTCTGTTTATGCTGTCAAAAAAGGTCTACATAAGTGAACTATTTTCTTCTTTTTGGGGAGTCCCAAAATTCTGAGATTTTTTTGGTAGGAGATTTCCTTTGATTCTGTAATGTATCCTTCCAGATGTAGTAGAGCTACAGCCAGTGGTGGGATTCAAGTAATTTAACAACCGGTTCTCTGCCCTAATGATTTCTTCCAACAACCAGTTCGCCAAATTGCTCAGAAAGTTAACAACCAGTTCTCCCGAAGTGGTGCAAACTGGCTGAATCCCACCATTGGCTACAGCTAATAGTAGTCTTCAACAGTGTTCACAAAGAATTGTCATCCAATAACATTTGGAGATATGGGTTTTTCACCCCTGAATATGAACCAAGGGAATCACATATGTTAGGGCTACGATATCTACGTTGAAAAAATCTGGATGACCACTAGACAGCTATACAGAGATATTGAAAAATCACATTAGACCATTATTATTTAGACTTTTTTCCACATAGATGCGGTAACAAGATGTATCTTCTCATTGTCCTCTAGTTATTTGATCTTCAGATCCCATTGAACCCTATCAGAATGACTAATGATAAAGAATTATTACAAGATATCTATTAAATATAATAATGTATATTCCATCTTCAAATGATGGTGCATAAAATAAGTATATACTACACCAAATCACTGGTCCATCTAGCATAGCATTAGCTCCACCAGTCCATGTTTTCTTTCCAATCATACATACGAGGCTTAAAGCAAGGAATTTCTCCATGAAAAAATGTACTCTATCATTACATCATGACTTCTCCAAAATAAATAGTTCTTAGTCACGCACTGAAGTTTCTCACAATTTTTTTTTACTGTGCTCACAATATAGTAGTTTCCATCATGAAAATGCCAACCAGGAAAAAAAATAATAATACAATTGTTTAGCCTGTATTGCAGCATTTTGAATAGAGATCCATTTCTATTTCCAATGCACTGTTACATACACAGCCACAGGACATTATAAAACAATAATGGTAGACTCTGGTTCCCAATTTAGATTTTGGACAGAAATCAGCATTTTAGATTATCTGTTAAGATACTGGGCTTGTCGGCTGGACAGCTGGCAGCCTAGGTTTGAGACCTGAGTGCCACATGATGGGGTGAGCTCCTATTTTCCGTCTCAGCACCTGCCAAACTAGCAGTTCCAAAGCATGCAAATGCAAGTACATAAATAGGTACCACTTTGGTAGGAAGGTAATAATGCTCCATGACATCATGCTGGCCACATGACCACAGAAATTTCTTTTGACAGCGCTGGCTCAATGTCCTTGAAATGGAAATGAGCACCAGCCCCTATAGTTGGCAGTGATTAGCAGAATAAAATCTGCAGTGAGTCCTTTTTTACTAAATGTTTGCAAACAGAGGTCAGGTTCATAGGCTACAGCCATACCTACAGTCAACATTTTCTCTTCTGTATCATAAAGTCTAGAAGCATTTCCACCCCATCTGCTAGCAAATTAGCACTGCAGGCAAGCAAGAAAGATGTATAAGAAGATTCTATACTAAATCTTTCCAGCATGAAAATAGTAGCACCAGGTGATTCTGTAATGACCTGAGTGGAAAAAAATAAAATAAAATGGAAAAGCTAGGATTTTAAGCAGTTTTTAATCCACTTTCTAAGTACTTTCTGCTTGGTTTGCAGGACATCAGTATAAACAGAAGAAGCATGCAGGAAAATTAAATGAAAAAAATAAATAAATTAAAAAAAGGAATGTAACATTCCATGGGTAAACTTCCCATGTGAACATTACCACTCAGTCAATTCCAGTTTGGTCCTGGGAAATTTCTACAATAGTTACTTCCTGAGAGACACTTAAGACATGAACTTCCTTTCTATTTGATACTTCGGGTGGACAAGATGTCTCCTTTTTAAAAATTGTACCATTTCTTCTCCTCTTGAGAATTGGTATATAACCCAGAGCAGAACTGGAGCACGAGGCTGTAGCAAAAAGGACAGAAGGCTAATTCCTATTACACTTGTGATTATTTTGGGTAATTCATTCCGTGTAATCCTTTGACACTATAGCAATAGAAAATTGCTGAGAAATGAAAACATTCTTTGATCTTGGATTAATATTAATCGATAATAAATTGATGTCACCAGGAAAAAAAAATGATTTAGCAATCCCAAATAACAGGGCACAACAGCCTCAATCTTGCATGCACACAGATAACACACATGGGACAATTCATCTTATGCTTTATTTTTCCTTGAATAATCCTGGGCAGCGTGAATGGTTTCATTAAAAATAGTTTGACTGGATTCAGATTAATTTAAATTGCATTTCCTAATCCTGTGTCACTTGTTATACTGCCCTAAAGTTCTAAGAATCCAGAAATATCCTAATCAAGGAGAGAACCAACCTAGAACTAAGGAGAAATATCCTAACAATGGGAACAATTACTGTAACTTGCCTTTAGAAGTTGTGGATGCACCATCTTTTAAGAAGAGACTGGACAGCCACTTATCTGGAATGGTACTGGGTCTCCTGCTTGAATAAGGGGTTGGACTAGAAGACCTCCAAGGTCCTTTTCAACTCTGTTATTCTGATCTATATATTATTGTTTACTATTGCTGGTAAGAATTGCCATGTTATTTTTGGTTTGTTCCCATCAAAATCTGTGGCTCCCAAGTTAGTAATGGTTAAAATAAATGAATGTATGTGACTAGGCTCATACATTTACCTAAACTATAGCTGGGTTTAAGCAACACCTTAAATTGAAGCTAAGACCACAATGTTTAATGTAGTATCTGAATGTAGTCTGTTACTAAATTTGCCTAGATCCAGTCTACTCTGTTTTAATTTCTAATGGTCCCATTACCTGTTCACTCACCGCTTGATTTTCCAGGAGACAACGTGTGAAATATAAATACATGAGCCTGCCAAGAGTTTCACATGAATTGAAGACTTCTCATTAATCTGAGCGTTGAGGAATATTCTATACAACTTTTTATGAATGAGGATAATTTTCCAATGCTGAAACTACGATAATAGAAGACAATGAGGTTTTATTGTACTGGCGTCCATTCATAAATTGAAAACATTCAGAACTTTGCATTGCCATGATTTCCTGGTTGATTTAGAACTATAAACCAAATTCAAATAATCTGGATTAACGAGAAAGTACTGCATTCCTTTTTTTAATAGTATACTCATGAGGAAAATTTCTCATAGAAAATAAGTAACTGATAGATGAATGATTTCATCCAATTTGTAGAGGATTGATTTATGGTTTGGTAATCTCAGGGAAAGCAATTTAATTTATGGTAGCTAAAGTCAATTGAAAGAAAGCTCTGTGCCCTAGCTATACTACAAATATTAACAAATTTAATAGCAACCCTCTTTTCCCAAAGTTACTCTATTGAGTCTAAGGTGGAAAAAGACAATTTTGAACACTCAAAATGCATTATAGTTCTCAGCATTCTTGATGGGAAGGCATAAATTAAATTGGCATGAACTCAATACAACTCAGCAGTATAGCTAAACCTGTTTGGGGAAAGACAGCTACATTCAAACTTTAAAAAGTAAAAATTGGAGTCATGGCTTAGCTATAAGCTCCCATTGCATCAATTGAGCCTTGATGGTACTCACAATTTCACAAGACCACAATCATTCCATTAATAAAAAGGTGAGGGTCACGTCATGTCATATCCCTCCCTCCCAAATTTCTCTATTAGCCTACACTGCAGCCTGGTCAAATTTATCTTCACAATGCAGAGTTAGTTGTAATAATAAAAAAAAGCTGACAACTAAAGAAAAGCACTTGCAATGAAAGCTGGAACATATATTAATGGTTCTCTGTTGTAGGATATATTACAAGAATGTTTTTACTCCACTGATCATTACAAAACGAAAGGCTAGATAACTTGAATTAAAATAACAAGATACAACAAAACCTTTAAAAGAATAAGAAATCAAATCTGAATAATCAGAATTCATCCAGCCCCACAGGGACCCCCGTTCTACTTCCCATAGAATCCAATGGAACAGCATGGATGGAAGTCTTCCCATGGTTTCCATCTCTACAGAGGTTGGCCTGATCTGAACTTTATTTGCCCTGCTCTTGTGACCCATTGAAAATGCAGACCTTTCAAACCATGAAAACACACTGTAAAAGTGCAGAACTCCCATCAAAATGATGGAAAGTCTTTAAACATCTTCTCCATTTTCACTGATGGAGACAGTATGTATTTTAATGGAGGGTATTTGCTGGTCCTTTGGGTTTTCTCCTGATGTGTTTGCACAGCAGCACTCTCTCAGGAAACCTTTGCTCTTCACTTTGGCCGTAGAACAGCTGGACCCCTCTTTCAAAGCATTGCTCTTGGTTGACATGCTCTGCATGGCTGAAAAAAGTTTCCATTCACACACGCCATCCGATTTGGAAATCTTATAGAAGTGTTCTCCAGAGCCAACAGGTATACGTACAATATCTTTGGGAGCTTCAGGAACATGGTTGCTTGGGTGATTGAGGGTGAAGCTCAGGGAGTATTTGTTGGAGGAATACTTCCTGTGGAGACACTGGCCTCTTAGGATATTTTGGAATGCTTTTTTAAACTCTTGACTCGAACAAGGGTAAATGATGGGGTTGATGCAGCTGTTTATATACCCAAGCCAAAAGGCAATTTTAAAAATGGTTTCGGAGGGCTTGCTGTTGGGAAAGAAAGAACCTGAAATGGAAACAAAAGCAAACAAGAATTTTAATGGATTTATAAAACTTGGTAGTACAGTGGTTTAATGCACCCTGTAATTAACACAGCTGCCTGCAATTTCTGCAGGTTCGAATCTTACCAGGCTCAAGGTTGACTCAGCCTTCCATCCTTTCTAAGGTAGGTAAATTGAGGATCCAGTTGTGGGGGCAATAAGCTGACTTTGTATAAATATACAAAAGGATGAAGGCTATTGCTTAGCGCATTGTAAGCCGCCCTGAGTCTCCGGAGAAGGGCGGCATATAAATCAAATTTAAAAAAAATAAAATAAATAAAAATAAAAAACTTCATAGGATCAAAGAGTAAGAAATCAAAGGAAGCAAATAATTTTTTTTTACAAAGTTTTTAATTAGGAATCATCGTAATTGAGGTAATCTCTGGGCAAGAAAATGTATGCGGAGTCCTTGGTGCTCTCTGCGCTTGGTTGTTTGGTTGCAACCATTTCATTACCTGACTATGTAACATCATCAGTGTGTGCTGTGTCTTATCTAGTTGTGTAGTGTACAGTGATGATGTTATTTAATTGGGTAATGAAACATCTGCCAGAAAATAACCAAGCTCAGAGACTACCAAGGACTCCATGGTTCAACCATGAGCTACAGATATTCTCTTCTATTGGAACTGAAAAACTATTTCAGAATATAATGTAAGAAAAAGTCCAGCTAAATGTTTTAAATCCCTGTTTATTTTGCCAGGAGAGGTTGAAATACTGAAATCCATAGACTCCTGAAAGGCTTAATTTGGTCTGAGTTTTATTCTGTTTTATTCTTTTTATTTGTTTAGATGCAGTACCAATTTTTCGTAGAGTGGCCCTTGCATAGAAGCAAAACGCACATAACCTTATTTAATGAGATTACCTAGGATCAGGGAATTAAGTGTAGATAATCATTATGCCTTTGTTGCACATAATTAAGCTTAATCCAAGTGAAGTAGAAACCGCCCTCATTGCAAATTTAGGCTGTAGAGCCTCTCATGCCCGAATCATACTCATTGTACAGTACAAGTACCGATATTACAAAGCAAACGTCATTCTACTTCAGATAGTCAGAGCATCTTATAGAAGTCTTAGGCAATAATATTAAAAAAGAGCTACTTGCTAATAAGCACTTGGATATATGGGAATAATTTATGAGCAAACCTGCATGATATTGTGTGGTAGAGACAACCCTTATTTCAGAGGATTATTTCCCTTTAAAATCCACCCAGTGTGCTGCCTTCCCTGTGCAATGAATCAACACATCTATCAGCAGAACAGCCAAGAGATTTGGAAGAAAAACATGAATATGAGTTCAAAGGAAGCTGAATTGGCTGGAGGTAATTTTAGATCAAGTACATGGTACATGACCTGCTTATCTTCCTCCTACCCATCACAGGCAGGCTGTGCTTCTGAGCTCCTGCCCAATTGCATGAATCATCTGCAACATCTGATCTGTGAAATGGGGATGACAGTGATGGAAGATCAGGCATTGTAGGTAATCCATTGGGTTGCTGGTGGAAGGGAGAACATGAAGCAGTGTGGCACTATGAATCAACCTGACTAAAATTGCTTATGTTGAGATGCTGGTGTGAGGAGAAACATGGCCACTAATCCCCACATCTTAACATGTCCTGCAATAAATGTTTGGTACCAACCAGCATTTTGTTACTGAAGCTATTCAGCTAAAGCAAATATTTCAGAAACGCCTCATAGACTGGAGGAAAAGATGTTAAAATGGCCTTCTGGATCATTCATGTGCCCTACGTCATGGACTTGGAATAACATTTATCAAACATTATTGTATTACAAGCAACAGCAATATACTTGCAGAGCACAGCAGCAGAAGAGGCCAGATAGATCTAGCGTGGTAATGAATTTGCTCAACACTGAGCTTTAATGGCTCTTCGCATCTCAAATACACAGGACTGATATTGAAATCAGTAGCTGAATGATTAGACTTTTTATTCGCTTAAAGCGAATAAAAAGGGAGATGGGGAAAACAGAATTTATGGAATTTACGGGACCACCTATTACCACAAGCAGCCTCCCACTGGCCGGTACGCTCTCATAGAGAGGGGCTCCTCCGGGTGCCATCAGCTAAACAATGTCGACTGGCGGCCCCCAGGGGGAGGGCCTTCTCTGTGGGGGCACCCACTATCTGGAAGGAGCTCCCCCCAGAGATACGGAGGATCCCGGATCTACGCACTTTCCGCCGTGCTCTTAAGATTCTTCTATTCCAGCAAGCCGGCCTGGCCTAATTTTCTCCCCTGTTTTAAAATTCTTTTACATTGAAATTTTAATTTGTTTTAAATTATTGGGATTTTTTAATTGTCTTGGGCTAAATTATTTAATCTGGTTTTAATTATATCTTTTAACTTTTGTATTTATGTATTTTATTTTGTGCCTCTTCACCGCCCTGAGTCCTTCGGGAGTAGGGTGGTATATAAATCTAATAAAAGAAAGAAAGAAAGAAAGAAAGAAAGAAAGAAAGAAAGAAAGAAAGAAAGAAAGAAAGAAAGAAAGAAAGAAGAATGACGAGGGTTTAGATAGGTCAGATTGTCTGAAGTTGTTAAAGGTGGAAAGCATCTTCAGGATTCAGAAACTGAGATATTTACTTACAGTGGTTTCTCCAAGAAAAGTGGTTAACGCTTATAATAATTAAACGAAATACAAAGTTAAGAGACCTTCTGTAATGCAGCTTTTAAAAGGGGTCCCCCCCATGCAGGTTAATTGACAATTCAGTTTCAACATTAATGGTAAAATTCAGCATTGTAGGATCACATTCCCAAAGCCTCTTTGCTTCAAGTTTAAATCAGCATACCAAACACTTTAGAGAGCTGCTAATGGAATTTAATAATCATTCCGAATTGCAAACCCCCTTTTTTAAAGACTCTAAGGAACATCTGCAGTTACTCAAACCTATTTTCTTCTTCCTTAATCAGTTTCTTTCTATGAAACTCGTGGAAATTGGTTGCTGGTAGCTTGCCAAAATAAACAGAAAAATGGTGAATTAATTTCATCTAGGTCTTAAAATGCTGGATTGCTTTCCTGTATTAAACAGGCCAAGAGGTAATATTTCAAGAACTTGGTAAGTGACAGTGGAATTTAGGGAGTTGCTGTTCAGAAACGTCTGGAAAAGCTCAGGTGGCTGAATTAGGGATTTAAAGAGTAAAATTATCATTCTTAATAGGGTCCAGAAACAGATGGGAAATCAATGAAGGTAGTTTGGAGAACTGATCCCCTGCTGTCTTGGAGTCATCAACTGGATGTTACATTTTGCATCAGAGTAAGTTTTTTATTTTTTTTTCCAAAATCCCACAACTTATTTATTTTGTTATGTCTCTGTCCCAGGTTTCTTCTCCAGCTTTATGCAAAAGCCTTCAGGCAATCTCTTTAATAACTCTATTAAAACAAGGCTGGTACAGAAAAATACTTTTGTAAAATAGCAGAACAGGGATGGTTCACCATGACCATTCATGGTTTAATGATATGCTTAAACCAGTCAAAATCCTAGTGGCTGCGTTTAGGCTTAGTTTTAACCTTGTCAAGTTTTTTTTTGTAGCTTAGTGTGTGTGAGCCCAAAGTGTTCAGTTAATTCATGATTTAATGTTTGTAAAGGCAGAAAAATGTGTCAGTTCAGTAACCAAGTTAAGCATACTGCATTGATCCAGCAATTTGTCACAAAGCATGGTTTATGCATGAGGAGGACTAATTCCAAAGCAGATTCTTGTCAAGCGCTTCAGGAGATTCAGGCAGTTCAAATGAATTTAAAGGTTTAGTGCAGGGGTCAGCAACCTGTGGCCCTGGAGCCGCATGTGTCTCTTCCACCCCTCTGCTGCGGCTTCCTGTCACTCAAAATATGCATCACAACCGCCAATGTGTGAAACCTGCTGGCACGCGATTTATTGAGCTTTTCAGCCTCCAGTAGGCCAACCATGGATATATCCAAGAAAAGAAAAGTTTCAGAAGAAAACAATGTTTAATTCAACTACATATGCTAGTTTTGTGGCCGCTCAGGAAATAGTCAGGCACGGGAAGGGTTTTGTGGCTCCCGGTGTTTTCTTTTCTGTGAGAAACGGGTCCAAATGGCTCTTTGAAGTGTTTAAGTGCAGACCCCTGGTTTAGTGCAATCTTAAACTCTCTATAAAAATCTGACCTACTAACGGTCAAGATAAATGAGTGGGAATAAAGGCATTCAAAGTGGGCTGGACATAGATCTCTTGTGAGCATGCAAGGACTCATGACTTACTTACGATGAGTTTGACCCCTCCTTTGGGCTCAGCCTGGTCATCTCCTACAATTATAGGTTTACATGAAATTGTCTACTCAGTGGCATATGTGACAAGTATGTGTGGGTATATCATAGAAAGAGAAACCAGATATGCAGCATTAGAAACTAGAAATGCAATAGAACAAGAGCCCTGGTGGCACAGCAGACTAAAGCACTGTTATTAACATCAGCTGCCTGCAATTACTGCAAGTTCAAATCTCACCAGGCTCAAGGTTGACTCAGCCTTCCATCCTTTCTAAGGTAGGTAAAATGAGGACCTGGATTGTGGGGGCAATAAGCTGATTTTGTATAAATATACAAAAGTATGAAGGCTATTGCTTAACGCATTGTAAGCCGCCCTGAGTCTCCGGAGAAGGGCGGCATATAAATCAAATAATAATAATAATAATAATAATAATAATAATAATAATAATAATAATAATATAATAATAATAATAATAAAAATAAAAATAAACAAACCATGGACTGGCACCGGGCCATGGCATGCCAAAAACCAGGCGGCGCAAACAAGTGAAGCCCCATCTGTGGGATGCAGAGCCTTGGTGGCGCAGCAGACTAAAGTGCTGTTAAGTAACACCAGCTGCCTGCAATTACTGCAAGTTCAAATCTCACCAGGCTCAAGGTTGACTCAGCCTTCCATCCTTTCGAGGTAGGTAAAATGAGGACCCAAATTGTGGGGGCAATAAGCTGACT